AAACAAAACAATAAGCAAACAAACAAACAACCACAACTCCAAGTCAGAATGAGAACAGCCAGTGTCAAGTTATACTGCAGCAAGCTCTGAAGAGCCGAGATGAGGCTGCTGAGACTCTGCTGGGGGTCTTCTGCCAGAAAATTACACTCTAGACTGAGCAACATCCCCACCTGTCAGGTGATTTCAACAAGGAGTCATTGCACCTAAAGTTCACAACACCTGAAAGGACTGGAGATTGAGATGCTCTCTTTTTACTCCCTCCCCCAAGCCTTGCTGTTCCGGGTCAACAGAGCCAAGGGCAACTGGCTCAGAAGACACTGTTCTCAAGGCAAGATGACAGCAGGAGGAGAAAATAGGATGCAAGAAGCAGAGAGATGATTTGCCCTCAGGCTATGAGAAACGCTGAGGGGGCCAACATGGCCCTCGAATATTTCCTGCTTGCAATCCACTTCTGCTGCAGAAGGTCCTAGAAGCCTCTTAGCCCCAGGACCAGAGTATCATCTACAAGATCGAAAAATTACTTGCTAAAAACAAGCAGTGGTGGCTATTCTCCATGAAGAAGTGGAGATAAAATGGAAAAAGAAAGACTCAGGGAAAGAGAGAGGGGTCCCATAACAGATGGTGTCAAGAACAGACACATCTTCCTTCTACTAACAGAGATCTGCTATCAGACCACCGGCTTTATATAGGCAGATGAGAAAACAACTGCAAGCAGCTGTCAGCTGAATATCATAGATACAGCAATTATTAAAAGCAGAGCACAGTCCTGAGTGGGGTATGGACCCCCATGGATCTGCGTAAGCACCAGTAGAAAGCATTTGCTGCCTAAGGTACAGAAATGCAGTGTTTTCCCTGCTGTCAGCACCTGCGTCAGGCTCCTGGTTTCTCTTGAGATACAGCTCTTAATTGGGATAGATTGTACATTTTCTGCTGTAGCCCGGACCAGCTCCCACTTTAATTGCTAGTTTATGACTTAGCCTGTTTTATGCTTTCCACGCTACTTCTTTCCCCACTTAATCTAATAGAATTATAGAAAGTATTGCTGGGAAGACCTCAGGAGGCCGCAGTTTATCCTTCTGCCCCAAGGCAGTATTTCATTTTCAACAACATCATGTGTCTTTTGCTATCAGGTCAGATCGGTCCAAGATGTATAGAAGGTAAAGAAATGAAGCTTACCCAAGGGAGTCAATTGGCATAACTTACTAAATCCAGCCCTTTAAGCCACTGATGTTATATCAGAAATAACTCTGACCAAATAGTATCCTTTATCAGATCAGTTTTCTAAAAGATGTCCTTTCTTGTTTTAAGTCTGTGAAATGAACAGATCTCTAGAAGAAATTGTTCTGACAGCCCCATTTCAGAATATGTGTTGCTTTATTATGAACAGCAGTGACCACTCCATTGTTAAGATTGAACAGAAATTATCACTGTATGATCAACTTTGAAATTCTTATTAAATCCAACAACAAGGATTAATCTTTCTGGAATTTTATATCCTGCATTTCACTCCATGGTAGAACATGTCTGGCAAGACAAAACAAAATTATGAAAGCAATCTTAATGAGACAACTTCACAAAAATGAATTTCCAGTAAAATTTCAGAATGTCAGTCAGTTTATGAGGTTCATTCTTCTGAGATAACTTGACTAAAATTCCACTTCTGTTTATCCATTAATTTCTCTAAGACAAAATGTCTTATAGTCTTGGGAACAGTCAATGAAGAAATTCTAAAACAATAAAAAAAATTTTACCACATAGAGCAAGGCACAAGTGTAAAAAGGTTTCTATGTAGTAAAAAAAAGAGAAATGAGGACCAAAGGAAAGGTAAGGAGGAACTCTGAAAAGACAGTTTTTTCCCCCAGTCAAAAAAAAAAACAAGCAGGAAAAAGGACTACATACTTCTTAAAGATGCTAAAGGCCTGCTTGTTTCCTCTCCTGTCTTTTGAAATTTCAGTTCTGGCTGAATTAGGGTTCTTCTGGATTGTAAGCATGCATGCTGAACACACAGAATCACAGAATCATATAATGGCCTGAGTTGGAAGGGACCTCAAGGATCATGAAGCTCCAGCCCTCCAGCCACACACAGGGCTGCCAACCTCCATATCTAATACTAGACCAGGCTACCCAGGACCCCATCCAACCTGGCCTTGAACACCTCCAGGGATGGGGCATCCACAACCTCTCTGGGCAGCCTGTGCACCTCATCACTCTCTTAGTAAAGAACTTCTCCAACATCCAACCTAAATCTTCCCTCCTTTAACTTAAAACCATTTCCCCTTGTCCTCCCATTATCTATCCTTGTAACACCTACAGTAATGCATAGCTGGACAAAGTAGAGGAGCTGTAAGAAGACAACAATGGCCAGCAGATATGCTTTCTGCCTTCCTCCCACTGTCCTCCACAGCACCTGTAATTTAGGGAAATGCAAAAGCTAAGCAGCAAACAAGCATCCTCACTTTATAGACAAAACTTTTCCACAGCCTGGTTGTATCTGACTCCCACAGTCTCCATTCACCCTTCAGTATTAGTCTCTATAACCAAGGTCACAAATAAGCTAGGAAAACAGCATCACCTGCATCATGCTGCTATTACATAGCCTGTTAGCTAAAAAGAATAATACATTCTGCTTTTAAAATGCATTCAGAATGACAGAGATGGTAATGGCCAAACACACTATTTTGAAGGATGTTAAGTTATGACTACTTTAGTGCTTGAAATAGTTCTGTAAAGAGTAAGGTGAGCTATGTGCTTTAGACACAACCCCTTTTCTAATTCTAGCCTTGGCCTGCAGAATGAAGGAAAGGGGCAATGGGTGAATCCCTAGTGCTAGCTAATTAGATTATACATTTCCTTTCTCTGGCAATATATCTTTCCCTGCATGGGATGCATTTTTCTTCACTAACCTATCAAAAGCAGCTTCCCAATAAATCACAAATCACCACAAGCACTGCCTTAATGAGATCCTCCAGCTTTTGTGTTCATTTAATAAAACACTGTTCACCAATCTTCATCTTACTGGTGCATTTAGACTGCTTATTTGAAGTTATGGGAGGTCTTTCTGGTGCAGAGAGATTGAACTCACCCGTTAGAGATCATGCAGGATTAATTTCATCACCTATTCCTAAGGCATTCACACACCCCTCCTCACCCCCATGTACCATATCACAGGGGGCAGACACAGCTAGCAGGCTATTTTCAAGATGAAAAAAAAGTCTTGTGTTGCAATCACATCATCAACAGAAGTATGGGGAAACGAACTACCTTCTTTAGATCAGCTCAACATCCAAAATAACTTTTATTCCTAATAGTCAGAGGTACTAGCATCCGCAGGCAAACTTCCATTCAGCCTGTGTAAATCAACAGACACCCCCAGGATTAGCAAGGCAACCCATGTAAGGTAAAGTCAACCCAAGCCAAAAAAGGTGAGTTGTTTCTAGTGACCCTAAGCCCATGGAGGAGTCCTCTTTTTCTTCAAATAAGAGCTTTCCCAGCTATGTCTTTTTTTTTTTTTTCCCAAGTGGATTTGTGAAAAACAAAACAAAACAACAACAAACCTATTTATTTTCTTTTCCAGCAAGCTCAGGGCCTGCTTAACCTCTTTAGCTTGTGTTCAGGCTCCCTAGCTAATTCCCAGCATCAACATAGTGTTGCCAGTGAAATGAGCCCAGCTGCTATTGCAGGTTCTTGAAGTGCTTCATAAACTCTGCTACAACATCTGCAGTCATATTCCTAGCACTGGGCATAAAAGTGGTTATAAAATATACGTATAAAAGTATTGAAACACAGATTCCTGAAAAGCTTGCTTGAAAAACTCCTTAGTGTTTATTCTCCTCAGAAATTAGCCTTCCTTATCGAAGGGAGGCTAAAATAGTTCTACAAGAGAAGAAATGCTACAGTTTTGAATTCTTTAATGTTAGGTCCAGCTGCAAGGCAGTACATAACTGGATGTTTTCACATACTGCATTAGCAAGTATTAGCAATTCTTACATATGCAATGTCAACATCTCACGCAGTGTTCTGTCCAGGCTTTTACCCCTTCTGATACAAAATTTCCAGCTATATGTGGCTGAATCAAATTAACTTAGCTAGTTTGTCTTTCATTTCCTGAGTCCTGTTTCCACAATTGAAAGCAGAATCATAGTTTGTACTTTGAAATTCAAGGATAAGCTGGGAAAGTTTAACAACAAAGATGAATGATTCTAGTAAGGGATTGAGAACTAAACCTAAGAGAACATGATGTGTTAAGTTCAGCTGACAAAATACAAAATGACACAGAAACAAATAAAATAACAAATGCATGAAGAAGGAAGGGCAATTTCAGTTTTAGACTTGCCCCTGGAATAAAAGAGGTATTCTCACCATATGACCTCATTTCACAGGTAAGCCAATTTGGGTAAGACTATACAAAGTCCTTCTTGCTTCAACAGAGGTAGCTGCTTCAGAAATTTTGTGACCTGGGGCCAGCAGAGGGCACTGCGTTACCAAGTGACAATGGCACAGACGCAAGACAGACCAGCAGTGGAAGAGCCTCATTGAAGAAAACCAAATTCTAGGCATTACAAGGAGGTGTTAGTCATCACTGTATCAATCCTAGAACTGATACAAATAACACTGTTAAAATAGACCTCAAACTCTGGGCGTTCCCAGAAACACACCTAAATCCAATCCAACTACATGTCCATTTCAGGCCACAGACTTTCTACTGAAAATGCTTTGCAAGTAGTAGGGCTGAATCAGTCCTGCCCTCCAACGTACCAGTGCTGGGTTGCTTAAGCTGCAAAATATCTTCTCTCCTCCTCCAAATCTCTACATCCTTGCTTACAGCAGCAGGAAGTTTGTTCAGACATGAGACAAGGCACTATTATCAAGGCAAAAAGCTGGCAATTTCCATTCTGCCCTCCCCCTTTTACTCTGCCTCCTCCAACCTAACAGACTTTCAGTGAGCAGAGAACTGAGGTAAAGGACGTGAAGGGGATGCTAAGATAGCAATTCCAAAATAATGTCTTTCCACTCGCTTATTTCTAGTTTATTTTGAATTACCAGAAGATGACCGTGAAGAAGCAAAAAGCTCATCTTTTTTCCTCTCTCTGTATTCCAATCCATAGGATTCTGGGCACTAGAAGAAGCTCTGAAGTTAAGTCATCCCAGTCACGGCCCTCAAGCTAGTGAGTGAAAGGTTTCCACTTTTTCTTTGTACAGTTGGTGGAATGACTTTGCCAGGATGTTGAAAGGGGCCTCAAAATTTTTCATCTCCTTCTGTAAAAAGAAAATTGTAAATGACAGATGAAATAAGCATTTTACTATTTCTGCTCAAACAGCTTCACAAAAGATAGACTAAAACAGAGGGTGAGTTAGAGGACAAATAAGTGTAAGTGAGCCCCCAGTTATTTATCCTCAGCTAAAAGAGAAGATAACTTTACAAATTCCCACTTCTATAGATGGTGAAAAGAGCAGATACTCACTACTGATGTCTCACAGTATTCCAGACCATGTTTGTCAGCCCATTCCTGTGCTTGTTTCTGTTCCACAACTCGACGACCAACCAGATCTGTTTTATTCCCCACTAAGACACCTGCAGAAAAGAAAAAGAAACAAAGGAAATACAACTCAGAAATGATGATTTGTTAGCAGTAAATTTGGGGATATTGCAGAAGTATCTGAAAAAGTTGGGGTGAGGCAACTGTGACTATCTAGAAAAGTTTCCACTAAGGAACGATCTAAAATACATTCATGTCTTTATCTGCACTGTGAGTTGGAGGAAGCCATGCCTGCACCTGCCTTAAAATAAATGCTCTATATCGCAGCTCAACAGAAAGGACTGCTGCCATACAAGAGGGGTGCAGATAGCAAGAATATCATCCATTTCTTACCTGGGATGTGCATTCCAACTGCTTGTGCCCTCAGCTTTTCCAGCCACTTGGCACAGTTGTTGAAAGATTGCTCATTAGTGACATCATACACAAGGCACAGGACATTTGGTTGCTCCCACTGCACAGCAAGAAAGGAACATTGTCAGCTCTAATGAAACCAATGTGGTCAACAGCCAGTCCACATCTGCATGGCAAACACAGATGCTAAGATAAAAATAAAAAGCCTAATACACAGGAAACCTATGTCTGGGCTGAGGTTACACATCTCTGTTGAGTTGATTAAATGGATAGCTGGCACTGAGTGATACAGTCTTGCTTTACTTCCTCATTTCTATCTTTATGGTCCTGCTCCTTTATTTGTACCAGTTCTGGCACTCATCTTATTCCCAGGGAAGCTGATTCTTCATGCTCAATCAGCACAAAATTAATCCTATAGAAAAAAATTAGAAAGGTTTTTTGCCAGTTTGAGAAGCTGAGTCAGCTTCCAAAGGGGTCCCTTGCAAATCAGACCTGGTGCAAGGGCAACAGGGCAACTGCCTCTTGTAGACCAGTATTAGGTTGACTTAGCTGTCTTGGGAAACTTCATATCAATTAACTGATTCTACCTTTCAAGTGAGATAGTACAATGGAGAACTGTACCAGAAAATACAGGAATGACTGAAGGAAAAAAAAAACCATACAACAGTCAAGGGCAGTATTATGCTCAAGGACAAAAATGTGTCCTGCTGTATCAAGATATCATTACAAAACAAAAAACATCATTGCTGAAGTAGCAGCAAAAATCGATGTATTTCTGAGAAATAGAAATACTTTAACCAACAGCACATCATTACTCTCAGTTAAAAATCCCTACTTCTTTTGTAAGAAAACTGAAGGATTATCTGCTTTCCTTCCTCTTCAAAGTATTTGTTCTAGCACTTTTACAAGTTTCAGAAAGGTAGAACAGGAAGCATTGGCAACTGAAGTAAATGCTCCCATTTGCACTAAAGACAAAGTTTGCTATATCTGTCAGACTGAGGAGTTCAGATCTTCAAAGCAAAAGCACTCCTTTGGAAGAAGAGGACTGTTACATAACACTTACCAGTTTCTCCAGCATCTCAGAAAATAGATCCTTGCCTGCAGAGTCAAAAATGAAGAATTCCTGAAAGCAGAAGCAGAAAGAAGGTTCTTGCCAGGAACACTGCAATGTAGAGGAAGGTTTTGAAAGTAAATTACCACAACTTGTCATCCCTGCATTTTATTCAGTACGGCAGTCTCATGTTCCTAAGAGACATGCTTTTTGGCACTGTGCACACCCCATCTTCAGACAGTATGATAAAAGAAGTGGCTATTTTTTTCATGTATAAATGATAAAAGGATTACCTCCAAGGTTCTAGGCCTTGTTTCTACCTCTGCTGGAAACAGAACACTGGGAAGAGTGGGACAGTAAAAAGCTAATTTTCACTATTTGTATAAAATGACACAGGTGTCCACATTACAGTAGTGGAAGTGTAGGGTATTTAAGGACAAGGAACAGTTTTAGCTTCCGTAGTTCTAAGAAACATGAACTAAACCCGATTGTCCTAAAAGACAGAACAGAAAGCAAAAAGTGCTTGCAACAGCTTTGGTTTAAGATGTCCTTTTAGACACAACTATGTAAAACACATTTCAAGATTAAGCTAACCCTTCACAAAAGCAAGCACAAGAAATTGCACATGACCAGTCTCACTTCCTTACTGCAACTTAATGGCCTTACAAACATACAGTGCAACCTTCTAATGCAATGAGATGGAAAGGGAGGCTTGAGCTCCAGATGTCTCTTTCTGACCCAATTTATGTCACAGAAAAACTCACCACACTATCACTTGTCTCTGGAACTGATATAGCCTTCACCAACAGTTCAATGCCCGTTGTCTGTCAAGAAGAATCAGGAAAAGAGGGATCAGAAGAGTTTTTAAGAGCCTGCCCAACTGCATACCAACTATGCATCAGATTGAGGCAATTTTTGCAAATCATTACAATCCCATCAAACAGACTGCTGGGAACTCAGCAGTGCTCCTCATAGCTTTGGTAACATAGTCCTCCTTACGTGTCACAGCTGTGTAGGTTTGCTCAAATGTGAAAAAGAGTACCAGCATTCAGAGCTTTGTTTGTATACTAGCATATTAGTTAAAATCTGTGGGGCTACATTCACTGTCACACTGCTGCTCTAAAGCAGCCTCGGAACATTTTGCACCAACCATGTGATCAGCTAACATATGGGACTGAGATTATTTGTGCCTCTTCCACCTTTTATCTCATTCTGCTTTGTAGCTTGTTTGTTTGTTCTATTTCTATCCTTAACTTCTGGTTTCCATCTTTATTTCAATGAATAAACATAATATAGGGTTGGGTTTTTTTTATTCCCCCGCACTCATATTTTCCTTTTTTTACTTTACTTATATTTACTTTTATTTTTATCCTGCTTCTGATTAGTCATCACCATTGATTATCTCACTGAAAGACTGCAAACTGTATCCTCTTCATCTGGGAACAGTTTCTGCAGATTATAATTATCCTGGGGCTATGCAGAACATCTTCATGTTTGCATAGTGATAAGCACAATGTCCACATGCACACTGAATAGTTGGAATTAAGAGCTTTCTCCTTCAGCGATGCTTTTTCATAAAGTGTTTCCTAAGGGGGGGAACTCTCTCAGACCACAAAAGTTCGGGAAAATACTGTTTCAGAAGGAAAATTAGAACAATTAATTAATTTACTCACCGTTGTTTCAAAACCAGCATCCACATAATGTAAAAACTTACAGAACGTTAAATCATTTCTCTTCTAAGAGAAAAAACTATGTAAGACCCACCCTGAATGCATCAACAAACCATATAATTAACTTTGTTCTAAGGCTAAGTTCTTATTTATCTCATGTAACTTAGAAAAGTTGCTGGAGAGCAGATTGAGCTTGTTGTGTAAATTGCACTTACCAATGTATAGTTCTTCTGAAAATGAGCCCCATCATTGCGGAACATCTGAGCTAAAGCACTCTTCCCCACAGCTGGATCACCTGCAAAACCAAAGATTAAAAAAATAATAATAATAAAATTATTTCATCTTAGAGAATCTTATTTTCCCTCAGTTCTGATCCTATCTTATGCCACAAGACATTGAATACTAGAACTCTGAATGCAGGCAAGGTAACTGTCACAAAATAATCTGAAACATACTACCTATGTGATGAAATAAATATTGTTATTATGCGTATTGATGCTGAAATCAGGTTTTTGCTTGATGAACAATAGTAAAGAGTTCTCAGATCAGGGTTGAATTGCTGTTTGTTTTAGAATTTATGTTTAGGAACCTACCCTATACCTTTACCTAAGAACTCACATTTTCCAGGCATGGTGTTACAAAGAATCTGACAACATGATACGGGAGACTGAACTGCACAGGCTGTTCTCTCTCCTCAAAATACACATTTCCACAAATTCAAATCCTTGTTAGTGTTATACTGAGTTTAGTGGAGAGGCAGGTCTTCCATATAGTACAAAGCTGCTTAATCTGGTAGCATTCCTCGATGAACTCTTCTTGCTGACCCTGCTAAGTGAGCAGCTCTTGCTGACTCAATGCTGCTGGTGGCTCATTAGTTGCATCCTGGGCATAACAGAAGCAAATGTCACTTGGCTGGAGAGGAAGCCTGCTGATTCATCCCTGTATGGAAAGCAAACGAAAGGGCTTTCATTTTTGCTCCTCTAGAACAAAGGTTTACTGGTGTCACTTGCATAACACTTTGGGCAAATTTCTGCCCTTCTTTGGCCCACTGTTACAATGTTCTGCAAGACCTAAAGGAACAGCAGAGAACTGCAGAATTCACGTAAGCCCAAATCTTTCCATGAAACAGATCACAGTCCTTGCAAAACAGAGTTAACTTAATGTTCTCAGGGAGCTTATCTTCTCTTCACATATCCTTTCAGCAGCCTGAATAGTTCAAAAGGGACAAAACCCAGGAATTAACTATCTCAGTGTTCTAGCTTTTTTCTGTCTTGAAAGGAACACTCATGACAGTCAAGCTGGAACACAAACCTTCTACGTTATATTGGTAATAAACACACTCAGAAAGGGGTACATTTTGGCCCAATTAGAACTTCATAGGTGGTGTTTTGAAGGAGATTGGGAAGTTATCTCCTCACATGATATTTCAAAGAAGAGTACTTTGGATACTAACAATTGCTCCTAGATGTATCAACCAAAGCAGTTCTTGTTTAAACGTTTTCAGTATGCTTGCTTACTTTGAGCTGAGTTGGGTTCATAATATTTAGACAGGAAAATCTGGTAAATCAGCTTGTTTGTTCCCTGATCAGTTCAAGCTTGTGCTGAAGACAACACTCTGTTCTGAGTGGAAGCTATTCTGTATTTCAATAGATAATTAGATCTGTCTTTGTAAAATGAGATAGAGAAGCATACACTGCTACAAACTGTGCAAGCTTCTTTTATTTTCAACACCCAGTGCAAATTCTTACCTAATCTGCTCCTTTTCTTTTATTTGACAGCCTCAGCTTTTTTTCCCCCTCTTTTCTTCTTCTTTGCTGTTCTCTTAGCCCATTACATCATTGCACTTCTTTCTCAAAATAAGTTTCCTTGCATTTTCCATTTAGTTTGGTCTCAACTGCAAATACTGCATCCCACAGAATTTATTCCATCCATATTTCTGTTATTCTGCCAGAAACTGTTGCATGTCTCTAAAATGTCTGCTACCAACAAGTTTATCTTCTTTTACAAAGAAAACTCTTTCATGTTGCCTCCAAAGTAAGCTTCACAGTATCTTGGTTTGTGTCTGTAAATTACTCTTGAGATAACAAGGAATCGCTTTCTATTGTCAAGTTAATAGCCTCTCCTCTACTAACAAAAGTCCTTTTCCCTCTGTTGTACTCTTGACCTTGGCGCAGCTCCCAATACTGTCAGCCATTCTATTCCTCATAATCATTTCCTTAGGTACACAAGAGTTTCTTGATCTACCTCAGACGTTTTTGCTTCTACCGATGTAATTGCATTCTCTTGTTCTCTCTAGGTTGTGGTTTCTCACCTCATACATCTATTTCATTATAGTCATCTCTCCTGGAAGAAAGAAGTTATCTTGCCTGGTCTGCAGCATTCATTCATTATTTTCAACAAGATACACATACTATCCTAGTACTTAGGAGCACTACAAACAGATCTGATTCTATGACACGGAAGAGAGCCTTTCTGTTGTTTGCATTGTGAACAGAATTGAAAGGGCAGCTTCAAACCCAGTAGGGATTAAGAACATAACTGAGTCACAGAAAGAAAACCTGTGTGAGTTCGGGAGTGTCATGGAATCAGCCTGGGCAGCTGATTAAAGAAAACCTATACTGGGTCCTGGAAACTTCTAAATGGGAAGTGATGTGCAAATCTTGAAGATGGTTAAGGTACTCATGTTGTCTATGGTGTCAACAGGGCAGCAGGGAGAAGAGCTCTTTTGCATTTGCCAAAGCTTGCAAGTGGCTTTGTGCAAGCTGACAAGTTACCTGCTTCCAAGGAAAAAGCAAAAACAACAAGGAAAAAAGAAACAACAAAACAACAACACAAAGATTTAATTCTGGATGGAAGAAAGCACATTTGGAGCAAGGAGTTAAGCGCAGAGTTGTCTGCACAGCAAGGCGTTCTGGTTCTGCGCTCCCGGCCCATAGCACGCGCTCAGTGATGAGCCTTTCCTTCCTGCGGCATTGACAGCCGGCTGAATTCACTCTCGGCACCTCCCTAATCCATTCTGATGGAATAAAGCGCTGTCTTCGCCTCACTTCTCCCCCGCTCAGATTAACCTCCAGTTCACGTGTGGAAAAAAAAGCCTTCGTGAAGCAGGCGCTCTTCGCCCTCCCCCTCATCCTCCATCCTCCCACACCCACTCGCTTCGGACCCTGCCCTTCCTCAGCCGATCGCACCGCACTTCGCGCCCTCCCACGCGAACAGGGGGAGGCGGTAACCACCGCCCCATCCCTCGGGGATGCTGCTCTGCCGATCTGCCAGGCCGCAGGGCCCGCCACCACCGCCCTCCCAGAGCTCCCGCCTCGCTGAGGAGGCCGGACTCACCTGCCAGCAGGCACTTGGCGGAGAGCTTCACCATCGCCCAGGACCGAGGAAGGCGGAGGCGGCGGGTCGGGAAGGCGGCGGCGGCCGCCACCGCGCTCTGTCGCGGCCCTAGCAACAGCGCGGCCCTAGCAACGGAGCGCCCCGCCTTCCCCCGGCGCGCTAAATCCGGTTGGCTGTGAGCTCTGCTCGTCAAGGCTAGCCGGAGTTACTATTGGCTGCTGTGTCTTTGCCCGCCCTCCGAGCGTCCTGTCACTCAAATCCTGGTCCCGCCCTTCTTGTGGCTGAGGCGGGGCTGAGCGCTCAGAGGGCGGTACGGCTGTGGTACGGATTGCTAAGGCGGGGTGTTGTCTGCCCAGCAACTACCTACGTATGAGGAACCGGCTTGTTATTGGGCAGAGCACAGGGGACAGTACCGCGCAGCCAAAAATAACTCACTTGGAAAAGGGCAGAAAATAATAAAGTTGTGGGCACAAGTCTACAGAATACGAGTTTGGAAGCAGTAAGAAGCGAAAAGACAAGTGAGAGTGAGGCAGAAAAGCCTCTGTCTTACACCTGTCTCCTTTCCACGCAATGGAATCTTCCGGGCATAAGGGCCCCCACTCGCATGCATGGCGGGATCTTTTCTGCGCATGCGCATGGCTGGCAGTCAGAGGGCTCGGGCTGCTCTGCGCATGCGCTGTGATGGCCTGGTGTCGAGTCGCCCCTGGTCCTTAATGGACGAGGCAGGGTGGAAGGTGTCGAAGGGGCGGTTGTTGCGTCTTCGTTTACACGCCAGAAGGCTGTGGTGCCGTTCAGCGAGAACTGGACGGGCTGAGAGTTGGGCGGGGAGGAAGGATCCTGATGAGGTTCGACAGGAACAAGTGCAGAGTCCTGCATCTAGGGAGGAATAACCTGCTGCAAGCAGAATCGCCTCCTCCAAAAAAAAAGCAACTTCATATATATACCAGTTCCTGATGCTGTGTCCCTCCCCAACTTCCAGGCTGAGAGCACTGAGTCTGTTCTGCCTGGAAAAGAAGGCTGAGGGGAGATCGTATCAAAGCTTATAAATATCTGACGGGTGGGAGTCAAGTGGATGGGGCCAGGCTTTTTTTAGTGATGCTCCACAACAGGACAAGGGGCAGCTTGCACAAACTGAAGCATAGGTGGTTCTGTATGAACTTGAGAATGTATTTATTTATTTATTTATTTACTTTGTGGGTTGCAGAGCACTGGAACCTGCTGTTCAGCGAGGTTGTGGAGTCTCACAGAGTCACAGAATGGTTCGGGTTGGAAGGGACCTCAAGGATCATGAAGCTCCAACCCCACACCACATGCAGGGCCATCAACCTCCATATCTAATACTAGACCAGGCTGCCCAGGGTCCCATCCAATCTGCCTTGAACCCTCCAGTGACGGGGCATCCACAACCTCTCTGGGCAGCCTGTTCCAGCACCTCACCACTCTCTTGGTAAAGGACTTCCTCCTGATATCCAACCTAAATCTTCCCTCCTTCAGCTTAAAACCATCTCTGGAGATATTAAAAACCTGCCTGGAAGCTTTCTTCTGCAATGTGCTCCAGAGAACCTGCTTTTAGCGGGTGTTTGGACTAGATGATCTCCAGAGTTCCCTTCCAACCCCTACAGTTCTGTGATTCTGTTCTATTTGTGCAACCTTTGCATTATCCTTGTCTATTTGTAATATTGTCCCAGTTTACTGACAGGTTTGTATGCGAAGGCTTTGAGACTTCATTATGATGTACTTGAGATTTATTGATCGTGTCTGTAATGTAAATGTAAAGTACTATCCATCAGCATTTACCAAGGTCTCCAACATCTCTACCATTTCACTCTGGGGATATTTAATAGAAGGCATAGATTATGCTAGAAGTGGAATTGTCATTGCTATTGAGAATTTCTGCTGGCTACATCCTTCATCACATTCTTTACTTCTAGCACCCTGGTCCGTTGTCTCATTTCCATGTTTCCTGCTTTCCTCTGCATGCACTTAGCATGCAGCAAGGACTTGTATCCTTGCTTTATTTCAGCTGTCCTTTTGCCCCACACATTATATATATTTTTTCCTCTGCCTGATTTCTCCTAGGTAAAAGTCCTTCCCTTGTCTGCACTGACAGTGATAGATTAAGGATGGAATTACTTATCTACACCTTATAATCCAAGCAGAATTGCATTCTGCTGTTAGCAGTCCACAGGGGTTGCTGCTGAATAAATTGGAGTACTGGTAGCTGTGCTCACTGAAGCTTCTCTCATCTTGAATACATGAAGAGGGAGGGAGAAAGAAACCCTGCAGGCTTGAAAAAAAAAAACAACCAAGCCAAACATAACACAAAGCAAAACACCAAAAACCACAGCACAGGATGAGGTTCTTACCCCAGAGAAGTGTTGATTAAGTTAAATCCTGTACTTAGCAGCTAAAGAGAAATAGAGCACTCTTTTACTCACACATTTCATTTCTTTATCAAATATAGCAAGGTTCCTTACGTGTCAGAAGTGCCCCTTGTCTAATGTGAGCAGGATAAGTTGCCCTGGCAGCTGCAGGACCATGAAATTTGAAATCATGTTTTCTTTAGGCAGTGGTCACGAAACAGCAAATAAACAGCATGTGGGGCTCACAGTTCATCGGGTTCCAGACAGCACCGTGGCTCCAGCAGGAGCAGCAAAGAATGGCAACAGCAAAGTAAAGTAGGGCTTTGCAATAGGGATTAAACAAAGGTGATGTGATCTTTTAGACTGATAAATGGTTTGTGTATCTGTGGGATGCTTAACTATTCCCTTTTGTTATGTCCTTCACAACATGTGCCTGTTCAAAAGTGATTCTGGTGTGGCAGAACTCAGTAATATTCCTAGGACTTGGTTTTGTATTTCAGATTCAAGGATTCGGGGTATGTTCTGGGTTGAGCAGGTTACAGCCTGTGTCTTGAATGGGCTGATGATTCTGAGGTACTTATGTAGCTCTCCTTGGAGTCAGCAGTGCTTCTCAGGAGGGCATTAATGCTGGTGAAAGGAATTAGTAGATCTTTAGGTAACAACTTGCTTAAATACAAACTGTAAACTATATCATCAGTTCCTTTTTAAATCTTATGTTACTAAAAAACAAACAATATGACAAAACAGAGTAAGAAAAACCTTGAAAATTGAAAATTGATGAATGTTCAGAGTTCACGTGGCTCTTAATCTGTATGCATCCTCAAACACTGACTTTGAATATTTAGTGATATGTCTGGGGAGCTCTGAAAACTGCAAAGAAGTGAGGGGGGATCCCTCAAAATTGCTTTTTGTTTCTTTTTTTCAAAGTGAGACTATTAGCACAGAAGTATGGATGTGGATGCTTTCTATATTGCTGTTGATAGCAGGTCTTCTGATCTTGCTCTTTTGTGGTAGGGACCGAGACATGAAGGCTTTTTGGATGAGACTCTGCACTGAAATTTAAGATGATTATGAAATGGTGGAATCAGCCAAAGAATTTTTTGGCAGCTACAGCAGCACTTCTGACCGATCTGGCAAATCTGCCATTTGTTTCTGATGTACTACATTGGGAAAGTGGAAGTTAGAAATGAATGGTGGTTGTAACATCAATAGAAAGTGGTAAATTATTATATGTAGAGTAGGTATCTCTGCAAGGTTAGAGACTTGGTTTGAGTATGCTAATTTTAACTGTTTTGTCCTCTATTCTGATGAATATGGAATGAGGGACAGATTTCTCAAGGATGTGTTCAAATCCACGAGGATAAAGATAAGGAGAGTTATTTGGAATAATTATTCTGAATATGCCTGGAAAAATTCCAGCTTGATTCTTTCTTATTTGTTTGCTCTTGCCTATAGTAAATAGGAAAATCAGAGTCACAGTTTAGTGTCAGATTGCACTGAAAAATAGTATGGCTAGGAAAAATACTGGGAAGAGAACCCTAATCTTTATGCAGTTTTTAGCAGTATAGCCCAAAGCATTAGACATGGATGGCTGATTTGGAAGCTGAAGTTTCATACAGAAGTCTTCATGTAATATAGATTTCTTAGCAGTGGTTTATATGTTGGGACTAAGGATTTAGTGTGTCCTTGCATGCAGTCTGCACCTTTCCCAGCTCTGAGTATGCTTTTACTGGAGCAGCCACTCTTGTGCTCATAAGCAAGCACTGAATGTGCTTCTGCATTGTGGGGAAGGGGCTGTAACATACAGAATATAAGAATGTGTGACATCTTCGGTTGTACTACCCATAATTTCATGGTGCCATTTGTTATGTGGTGATGATGGTCATGGTATCAGCTGGAAATCTTTTTTTTTTTTTTTTTAATCTCTGGCTGCTGTCAGTGCTTAAAAAGCAACTGCTAGGTTTACACTAGTACCACCTCTTATATTAAAACTATAAGACAAATTCCATCCAGATAATCAGTTTTATAAAAAGTAAGTGGTGATATTTTGTTTTATATTGTTCCTAAGTTTTTAGGGTTTGAATTTTCAGGATTTTCTCTGCCACCATGACTGATAGAATTTTTTGCCCTTACCTGATAGCTGAGTGTCAGCCATGTGACCACAGCTTTCATGGGAGACAGAAAAAAATAAATACTTGAGACTCCTAAAAGAAATCAGGAGTCTGCATCTTGCTGCTTTCTACCATCTCCTCTTGTCCTCTTGTCTTAGGCACAAACTTTTCCATACTATGCATGTCTTTTCTTTTCAAGGTCAATTTATGATAATGTGTTGATAATATAATAAAACCTCTCCTTCTCCAAGCTATTCAAATCATCACTCTAATCACCTGTTCTGGATTTTTATCTCCCCAAGTTCCAGACCCCAAATTTCTATGTTGTTCACCCTCTGGCCTCTATATTACAGCTTTCTCCATAAATTTCTAGCTCTCTAATACTAAAATCAAAATTCCCCCTCCTTAATTCCCTGTAGGTGTTCACACCAGCTACTTCCTTCCCATTTTCTGTCAAGCCTTGCTAGATGAACTCTTCATCACTTTTTTCCTACAGATGTGGATCCTTGGTTCCGGCTTCTGACGAAGTCTTAAACACAGAGTGAGCTAATAAAAATTCTGAATGAGTAGGATCTCGAGCTTGTAAAAATAGCATACATGCTGGGGAAAAAAAAATAATTACGTGGGGAGCCCTTCATTGTTAACCTGCTCTGTGGTTTGTACTCAGTAGACTAGGTGAAATTTTAGGCTAATTTTGACCTATTAGGCCTTCAGTAAGAAATAACTTACATTATACCGCTTACCTTCCTTTGGAGCATTCAAAATGAAGATACACTTGAATGCTAGGATCCTCAGCAGGCAAAGAAGAAGATGTAGGCTCATTAAATTTATGGGCAAATGTCTCTTAAGACTCCTCTGCTTTGCTAAGAAGACTATCACGTGTGAACAAGAGAGTTAATGCATGCAGGGAGGAACAGAAAAACACTGGCTCAAGTAATGGAGATTGTTACAGAACATAATTGAACACTGACTGCAGCAAAGCTGAAAGGAGACTTGCATTACAATTACATAAAATCTTTATTTTTTCTCCTAACCTCTGATTTGAGCTGTCTGACTAAGAGCAGGTGCTGGGCAATAGCTCAATTTCAACAACCCATTGCAGCTGAAAG